TATTTGAAAATCTGGAATCTGAGGGTGCAAAAAAAAAAAAAATCAAAATACTGAGAAAATCGCCTTTAAAGTTGTCCAAATGAAGTTCTTAGCAATGCATATTACTAATAAAAAATTAAGTTTTGGTATATTTAGTCGAAAATTTACAAAATATGTTCATAGAACATGATCTTTACTTAATATCCTAATGATTTGGGGCATAAAAGAAAAAGCAATAACTTTGACCCATACAATGTATTGTTGGCTATTGCTACAGATATAGCCTCTTTGTGGCTATACACTTTATGCCACATTGCAACCCTGTAACATTCTCATGTGTTATTAAAATGAACCAGGGCCACAAACAAAAGCCTACTGAGGCACCTTTATAGAAATGTGATGCCCCTTTATAGAAATGTGATGCCCCATTAATCAAGTACTCATTTAAATATTCCATTCAGTTTTTTCTCACCCTTTGTGCCAACAAGCTTGTTAATGTGGCGTCAATCATGTGGAAGCAGTCAACGATCTTGCATAACGTATGCCACACCCTTTCCATATACACCACAGACCAGCTGTGTAAACCTAAAGCAACTGATGTTGTTTGCAGTCTGCACTTGAGTCAACAGCAGTAATCCTATATGATTGTGTAGTGACTCCGCCTATGATTTCAGGTTTTCAAAGAGTTTTTTTTTTATTATATACTCAATACATATAATTACATTACACCTATGACCTATAGTCTCACAATCTGGACAGTTGGCTGCTCTTGTGTTTTAGTTTGGATTTATTTGGCTATATGGAAGCATAATTCCACATTGATTACATAATTTAATCCACATTGATTACATTTGACAGGAAGATTGAAAAGGATAGTTCACCCTGAAAATGAAAATTCTGTCATCATTTACTCACCATTTATTTGATTCCAAACCTGTATGAATTTATTCTTCTGTGGAACATAAAAGACGATATTTTGAGAAATGTCCCAGTATTTTTTTTTTTTGTCTATACAATGGAAGTCAATGGTCACCAAAACTGTTTGGCTATCAACATTCTTTAACATATCATCTTTTATGTTCCACAGAAGAAAGTCATACAGGTTTGGAACGACATGAGGGTGAGTAAATAGGGCAGAACTATTGTTCCAGCCACCAAAGACAGATTCACAAATAACCTGCCTGATTTAAATGATAACAGAACTTAAATTTTTGGGCAAACCATCAACAGTTCTTTAAGAGAATTGACAAATGTGTGTGTTTTTTTGCTTCACTCTAGTAAGCAATGATGTCAGTGTCAGTTAGGAAGGGAACCAAGAAATGCTATGCTAGCTTTTATGAGAAGCCTCATTGTTTTAGCATTTTCTCAGGGGACCGAACAGAAAGTAGGCCTGTGTTACCATCATTATTAGCAGGGTGAATGATGGGAACAAAGTACCACCCCAAACATGTCTGACTCACTTGAAAGGGTGCAGGTATATTATTAGTAATGAATGTTGATAATTGTTCCTGAATTACTAAAATAGTTACTGCTGTGCATAAAGCACCATTCTTTATCATCTGCTCTCTTCTTCTCGAAGTTCTTCCTTCTAGGTTTCCCTTAATACCCATCTACCTCTGATTTTTCACTACTTTTTCACTGCATTGCCACCCATCTCTCGTTGCCTGAAGCCATGGCTGCTAACAGGAATGCTTTGGCCCTTCACAAAGTAATAATGGTGGGCAGCGGTGGCGTGGGCAAGTCAGCACTAACACTGCAATTCATGTATGATGAGGTAAGACTTAATATTTCTGAATTTCACATCATGTGTACATTGAGGTTAACCACAAAGTATAATTGTGCTGATCTCTTTCAAAGTTTGTGGAAGACTATGAGCCCACCAAAGCTGACAGCTACAGAAAAAAGGTGGTTCTGGATGGAGAGGAGGTTCAGATCGACATCCTCGACACAGCGGGACAGGAGGACTACGCTGCCATTCGGGACAATTACTTCCGCAGCGGAGAGGGATTTCTCTGCGTGTTCTCCATCACAGAATCTGAATCCTTTGCTGCTACTGCTGATTTCAGGTAGAGAGATGACTTGAAAACTGGTGATTAACACAACACTAGTATTGCAGGGTACAAGTCAAAAGGTTGGCTAAATATGTTCATGCAGCAAAATGTTTTTTTCTGCATGAGTTTTCTCATTTTATCTCTAAACTTCAGAGAACAGATCCTTCGGGTAAAAGAGGAGGAGAACGTACCTTTCCTGCTGGTGGGAAATAAGTCAGACTTGGAGGACCGACGGCAAGTCGGGGTGGAGGAGGCCAAGGCCAGAGCAGATCAGTGGGCAGTCAGCTACGTCGAGACTTCTGCCAAAACCCGTGCCAACGTAGATAAGGTAGGCCTTGCAAAAACTGGTTTGGCAACAATTACATGTGATACTTTTAGGGATAGTACAATCAAAAATGAAAATGGTCATTCACCAACATGTTGTTTCAAGACTTTTTCTGTGGAATTTTAAAAGAAATTGTGAAGAATGTTCAGTTTTGGATGACTTGAGGGTGAGTAAATGATGAAAATTTTTCATTTTTAAGTGAACTATCCCTTTACTAAGCAGAATGAATCATTCTGTATTAGCAGTGCTAATGATTCATACAAACTTCATAATCTCTCCAGGTGTTTTTTGATCTCATGCGTGAAATCAGAGCCAGAAAAATGGAAGATGGCAAAGAGAAAAATGGAAAAAAGAAGAGGAAAAGTTTGGCAAAGAGAATTCGAGAAAGATGTTGCATTTTATAACGACTGGGTCGCACTATAACACTAACATCTTTTCTCTACCCTTCCACTGCTTCCCAAAAAAATCTATCAGGTTTCATCACATTTAGGCCTGTCGCGATAACAACTTTTTGTTGTGCGATATATTGCCCCAGAAATAATTGCGATAAGCGATATTATTGTCATTTTAAAGACCATTTTATGCCACTGAATATATAATCAATGTAACAGCATAATAATGCAAGAAGGCCTACACACTTCCAAATGACAACAAACTATAGAATATTTAGATCATGGAAATTAAATATCAAAATATTAGATACCTTAAAAAAAACCTGAATAAACAGTAAATAAACATTTTCTAACAAAAAGTGCAAAGTAACAAGTAGAAAAAAGAAAAATGCACAAAGAATTTGTATGGAGATTTT